CAAGTGGTGCTAGTGGTAAAGAACCTGTCTGTCAATGCAGGAGACATAGGAGATACAAGTTCAATCCCTGGGTGGGGAAGATCCCCTGGAGGAGGGCATGGCAACCCACTCCAGTATTCTTGCCTGGAGAATCCCATGGACAGAGGAGACTGGTGGGCTACAGTCCATAGCGTTGCAAAGAGCTGGACATGACTGAAGTGACTTAGCATGCATGCATAGGTATAGATATTATAGGAGTTGGCTCGTGTGCTTATAGAAGCTAAGAAGTCTTGTGATCTTCTGTCTGTGGGAACCAAGAAAGCCTCTGGAGTGAAAGTGAAGTCGCTCAGTCGTGTCCGACTCTTTGCTACCCCATGGACTGTAGCCTACCAGGCTTCTCCGTCCATGGGATTTTCCAGGCAAGAATACTGGAGTGGGTTGCCATTTCCTTCTCCAGGAGATCTTCCCAACCCAGGGATTGAACCCGGGTCTCCCGCATTGTAGGCAGATGCTTTACCATCTGAGCCACCAGGGAAGTCCAAAGAACTACCCCTTTTAGGTAATTTAGTCCAAATCCGAAGCCCTGAGAACTGGAAGGCCAATGATGTCTTAAGTCTTGGTCTGAGTCTGAAAGCCAAAGAACCAGCTATGCTGATGGTCCGTGGGCAGATGAATATCCTAGGTCAAGCAGAGAGATCAAATGTGTGCCTTTTCTGCCTGTTCTAGTCTAGTCCTCAAGGAATTGAATGATGCCCAAATAAAATGGTGATTGTAATCTTCTTTACTCAGCATGCTGATTAAAATGCCAGTCTCTTCCAAAAATAGCTTCACAGACACACCAAAAACAATGCCTTACTAACTATCTGGGTATCCATTAGCCCAGTCAAGTGGACATAACGTTAACCACCACAGGTATCTTTGGCAAAACATCATTTGGTATAATGTAGCAAAGTACTAAATTTTGGAAAGAAAAAATAAATGAAATCTCTTTTATTTTAAAGATTCTGCTACACTAAGGTTAAGATTTTTATATGAGTGAAGTTGGAGAGGAGTGGAAGGTTACTATCTCTGGGGACTCCATATTTAGAGATAATTATTGAAAATATAACCATAAGGCCATAGAATATGTTAAGTGCTATATATTTAAATTTAATATTTAGGACTGTTTATCTTCTGAATCACTTAAGGTAAAAGATGAAAAATGGTAAATCTTTTTTCTGTATACATGCTTTTTAGAGCAATTTAAGGTTTAAAGTTAAGTTGAATGTAAAGTACAAGGAGTTCCTATATACCAGGGTTCCCCAACCTTTTTGGCACTAGGGACAGGTTTTGTGGAAGAAAATTTTTCCACGGATTGGAGGGGTAGGGGATGGTTTCAGTATGATTCAAATACATTACCTTTTCTGTGCATTTTATTTCTTTTATTATTATATCATCTGCACTTCAGATCATCAGACACTAGATCCCAGAGGTTGGGATCTCTCCACCCTCTCCACCACCTCCCAGTTTCCCCTATTATTAACATATTGACTTAGTCTGGTGCATTTGTTACAACTGATGAACCAATACTGGTACACTATTATTAACTAAAGCTCATAGGTTTATGTTAGGGTTCACTTTTTGTGTCCTAGTTTTACAGAGTTCTGCAAATATTGATACATAATGTCATGTATCCACTAATACACTGCTGTCAAGTTGATTCAGTCCTTCAGAGTCTTTAGGACCCTAGGGACCACAGCCCACCAGGCTCCTCCAGGCAAGAATACTGGAGTGGGTTGCCAATTCTTCCTTCAGGGGATCTTCCTGATCCAGGAATCAAACCTGCATCTCTTAAGTCTCCTGCATTGGCAGGCAGGTTCTTTACCACTAGTGCCACCTGGGAACCCACCAATACAGATAGCCTCATACAAAATATGATGAGGCATAAGGGACATGGGTTTGATCCCTGGGGCGGGAAGATCCTCTGGAGAAGGGAAAAGCTACCCACTTCAGTATTCTGGCCTGGAGAATTCCGTGGACTGCAGAGTCCACGGGGCTGCAAAGAGTCGGACATGACTGAGCGACTTTCATTTTCGCTTGCCCCACCAGCTGTAGTGCAGTGGGTAATTGTATGGGCTCCATGGTCAGTTCTCACAGGTTCAAATCTCAGCCCTGCCCCTACTGGAACTTGTGTTGTGGATGGTAGTAGTTTAGAGCAGACACAGTGAGAGCAGAAGCCCCATATGTGGTAATAAACATAACCATAAGGGCTTCCCTGATAGTTCAGTTGGTAAAGAATTTGCCTGCAATGCAGGAGGCCCTGGTTCGATCCCTGGGTTGGGAAGATCCGCTGGAAGAGGGAACGGCTACTCACTCCAGTATTCAGGCTGGAGAACTCCATGGACTATATACACTATATACACTCCATGTATATAGTCCATGTGGTCGCAGAGTCAGACACGACTGAGCTACTTTCACTTTCACTCATACAAGCAGTTTCTCTGCCCTAAAAATCCCTGTGCTTCAACTATTCATTTCTCTCTCAATTTGCCAGAAAATTGGCAACCACCAATGTTTATACTATCTACATAATTTCCCTTTATCAAAAAGTTATATGATTGAAATTACACAGTATGTAGCCTTTTCAGTCTGGCTTCTTTCACTTACCTATATGTATTTAAGGTCTGCCATATCTTTTCATGGCCTGCTAACTCATTTCTCTTGATCTTTAAATAATATTCTATTACATGGATGTTTATCCCAGTTTGTTAAACCAGTTTGTATATTCATTAACCTATTTAAAACGTCTCAGTTGCTTCTGAGTTTTGGCAAATGTGAATTAAGCTGCTATAAACATTTGTGCACAGGTTTTTGTTTTAAAAGATTTATTTATTTATTGGATGTGCCAGGTCTTAGTTGCACGGGGATCCTTAGTTTCCTGACCAGGGATCAAACCCAGGCCCCCTGCACTGGGAGCACCGTCTTAAGCCACTGGACCCCAGGAAAGTCCCTTGTATGCTGGTTTTTACATGGACCTGTCTCAGCTTCTTTGGGTAAATACCTAACTGTGTGATTTCTTGATATCAAGGTAAGATTATATTTAGCTTTGTACAAGGAAGAAACTGCCAATCTGTCTTCCAAAGTGACTGTATTATTTTACTTTCCCATTAATAATTTCATTGTTATTTTAATTTGCATTTCTTTAATTAATTGCCAATATTCATCCATTCAACAAATAAGTATTCAGTTATTATGTGGCAGGCAGTCAGGCACTAGGGATACAGCAGTAAACAAAACAGACAAAACTGGCTTTCCCTCTGGAACTGACATTCTGGTGACAATATACAAATTTCCTAAATAGCATGTTAGACTGTAAAAAGTACTATGAAGAAAAATAGAAGTGTATGCTTGTGGGATTAACTTTAACTGTAGTGGTCAGGGAAGGTCTCACTGAGAGGTGACTATGAGGAAGAGACCTACAGGAGGTAAAAGAGAATCATGTGATAACTGGAAAAGAAGAGCTCCAACAAGATGGGATGGCCCTGCGGCAGAACCCTTCCTCCACAAGTAGTGTTTAATGAACAGCAAAAGTCCAGTGTGACTTTTGGTCTAGTAGCCCAGATCTACTAGATTTGGCCTAGCAGCCTAAATCTCTAGACCGCCTGTCTTACTAGTCTATTACGGTTCAGGAAATGGTTCCCTCTTGTTGCTGCTTCTCATAGCTAGAGTTACTCCGTTGTAATCATTGATCTTCTAGCACTATATATTTGGTCAATCACTTCAAGCTGACTAGTCATCATAATTTTTATTGGTGGCTCTGTCACACATTTGCTAATACAAGGTGCAATAACCTTGTAAAATAGGCAGAATACAAACAATACAGCTAGCCACATTAATATGGTCTTAAGTAAGCACTTAAGCTAAGAGCTTCCTTTAGATGCAACCCAGTATCTCCCCAGGGCATCTTACCAGTCTATTCTGTACCAAAAATTAACTCTGATGGAAATGATACACTTGCATTGTACATAAAAGTTCACCAGATGTCTGCACAACTTAACCTTAAGGGGACCCCTTACAGGACTGAGAAAGCAATGTTATCTTCCAAGGAGTTACATGGTTGTCACCAGGAGAAAAACTGATCTTTAGGATTTGAGCAGGTATTTCTCCCATTGGGGAGGAGGTCTGGGTAATGCACAACACAGCTGCACAATGCACATTAGAGGGAAGGGAGGAGGCCGAAGAGCAGAGAAAACTTTTTCAGCTTAAATTGTCCTCTTGCCTTAAAATAGTTTTCTCTTATTTCATCAAGAGTATTGATAAAACCAGTAGAGATATGAGCTGAAACCTACGATTTTTTAGCTACTTGGACTAAGGACGCACCCATCATCAGCTGTACCTGTGAAAGGTACAGTCCTTGACACAACTGAGCTTCCCTTGTGGCTCAGCTGGTAAAGAATCCGCCAGCAATGCGAGAGGCCTGGGTTCGATCCCCAGGTTGGGAAAATGCCCTGGACAACGGAAAGGCTACCCATTCCAGTATTCTAGCCTGGAGAATTGCATAGTGTCGCAAAGAGTCGGACAAAACTAAGTGACTTTTACTTCGCTTCACTTGACACAATTAGCCAGGAAAGAACTACCTGTTAACCGTCTTTCCGAGTAGCAAATCCTACCTTTAAGGGCTAAAATTTCTGATTCGAGGCGATAAGAAGAGACCGACTAGGAAACATGGCATAGTTGTCCCAACAGGGCGGGGGAAGGTGGCGCCCCACATTCGCCTTCGAGCGACGAAACAGAGGGCCTACGGAGCATTAAAGAAAGGTCCGCGTCATTTTTGAGATGAACACAAAATGGACCACAAACCCTTCACAGAAGTCACTTTGAGTGACAGCCTTCCGCGCCAGTCCCCAGGGGCTTTGGAAGAGTTTTCAAAACGGCCGCGCAAGGGCCGGGAACCCACAGACAGCTTGGCTTGCCACCGATCAGACCCGCCCAAGGAACCTCCCCAAGAGAGGGCGGTGTCGCCGGAGAGATGACGTAAAGGCGTCGCGTCGAGGGTGACGCGTGGCGTAGATGACGTAAGGCTGCGCCTGTCACCCCAGGGGCTGGTTGCGAGGAGGAGCGGGCGCCATGGCTGTTCTGCTGGAGACCACTTTGGGCGACGTCGTCATCGACCTGTACACCGAGGAGCGGCCGCGCGGTGAGGCCCCGGCCCTGCTCACCTTTCGGCGGGCCGCGCTTTTTTTTCCCCCCGCTTTGCCTTTTCTGCCCAGTCCCCGGCGAGGACTGGCTGGAGCTTCTGGGCTGATGGTGCCCGCGACCGCGCAGTTTATCAGAGGGCCTTGGTTGAAAAGTTTGTTTCTGAGGAGCAACCCTTCTCCGCCTCTGGTGCTGGCCAGTTGGCTGGCGGGTGCTTGTGGTTATTGAATCCCTGTGTGTGTGTGTAATGCAGGCTGCGTATTCAGTGCCTATAGCTCTTGTGGCTTTACTGTTTTTTACTAGTCAGACGAACATAGCGTGTAATCAGTAAATCTTGATGAAAGCAAGGACGAAGGGCTTGGAGCAGTGAGTGTGGACATCCCTTCTAGGTAGAGGGAGGGCTGTCCGGAGGTGTGCGCTCAGCCTTAGCAAACACTTGTTGATCGTACACTACGTGAGACTTTGTGCCAAGCCGTGGGATGGGCGTCTTGCCCTCGAAGGTCTAATTTTCCATTGGGGGAAATAGGCGCCGCAACCCATTTAATTTCTTAAGCGTTGTAGTGGTAGAATGTGTAAGTTGCCATGGAAACCAGAGGAGGGAGTAATTCTTCCTGGCTGGGGGTGGGGAGAAGCAGAATGCTGAGCACTTGAACTCGCTCTTTTAAAAACGAGTGGGAGTGAGGGTGTTCTTGTTTGCTTAGAATTTTCTGGAAGTAGATCGGGGTGGCTTGACAGTGAAATGGCGGGCCGTGAATCTGGTCATATACGTTTTTAGGTTAGGTCTGGTCCTGAATAGCCTTGTGTGCCCTACTGAAAACCGTAGTCTTTGAAGGGTTTGAAAGCAGGTTTGAGAGAGGCGTAACAAACTTGTTTTAGGACGATAATAGGCAGCAGTATGGAGAATGTTTCAGAGTGGGGAGAAACTGTAACTAAACAGGAGAGTTTAGTTACAATCAGGGTTCTGCCCCCAAGGAATGCAGTTTGTCAAAGATGAAACAAGCTATAAAATATGGTACCATGAGTGCCTGCTGAGGTGCTAAGCTTTATCCCACACTGAGTTATCACCCCCATCCCAGCAACTCTCAACGTACATCTGTTCCTTTCTTATACTGATGCCTGTACCCCACATTTCTCCCACTATTGTCCTTTTGGCAAACTTCCTGTTTGTTAATCAGTTCTCAGGTCAAGCATGATCTCTTCTGTGAAGCTTCCTGTGTCCCTAAGCAGAGTTAGATTGGTTTCTTTTGCTCTGCCTCTGGTCTTTTATAAATCACATAGTACATATTTTGTTATACATTTTCCTGTTGGCCTGGAATTATTTTCAAGTCTCGGTCTCCTCTCAAGAATGTAAACTTTAAGAGAGCAGGGACTATTCCTTAATTATCTCTATATCTTGAGCACCTAGTGCAGTGCCTGACGCTTTGAAGGTGCACACCGAAGTAATGGATAATATGTGTTGTATTCAGACTCTTTGTTCAGGTGATAGAAACTCAACTGAAACTGCCTTAAAGAAAATAATGGATTGCCTTATGTTACTGGTGTAAGCTTTGGGCTTCCCTCAAAGCTCAGTTGATAAAGAATCTGCATGCAGTGCTGGAGACCCTGGTTCGATTCCTGGGTCCAGAAGATCTGCTAGAGAAGGGGTAGGCTACCCACTCCAGTATTCTTGGGCTTCCCTTGTGGCTCAGCTGGTAAAGAATCTGCCTGCAATGTGGGAGACCTGGGTTCGATCCCTGGGTTGGGAAGATTCCCTGGAGAAGGAAAAGGCTACCCACTCAGTATTCTGGGCTGGAGAATTCCATGGACTGTATAGTCCATGGTGTTCCAGAGTCGGACAGGAATGAGCGACTTTCACTTTCACTGGGGTAAGCTTTAAGGATGACAGGATCCAGGGGTTCACAGATTCTTATAGGGAATTGTATTTTTCATCTTTCGGTTTTGTTTTTCTTTGAGTTTGACACTCTCCATGTGGAGCAGCATTTGGCAAGGAATGGGCCTTTTTCCCTAGAATTATGAGGAACTGAAAGAGAGGTAGGATTATCCCACCTAATTAACACAGAATGTTTTTTTGTGTGTTTTTGCCGTGTTTCTGCAATGATAGCTTGGAACACTTAAAACATAAATCCACGCTGTTTGTATATATTTGTAATGTGTAAGTAGTTGTGATTGGATATCTACTTATATGTATAACTACTTATCAATCTATAGTAAATATATCCAGACTTATTTTTCTTTTTTCCTCACTCCCTCTCTCCCTTTTCCTTTTTTTTTTTGAATTTGAACTTTATTTTTATTTTTTATTTATTTATTTTTTTTATTAGTTGGAGGCTAATTACTTTACAATATTGTAGTGGATTTTGTCATACATTGACATGAATTCCCTTTTCCTTTTTATAAAAGCTTTTTATTATAGAAAACTTTAAACATATACAAAAGTAGAATCATGTGAATGAACTCCCATGTTGATGATCAGCTTCATGTAACAGTTGTTAATATATGTTTCATTTATTTTGCCACATCCACTGAATTTTTTGTTTTTGGTTGTGCCTCATAGCCTGTGGGATCTTAGTTCTCCGACCAAGAATTGAACCCCAGGCCGTGGAAGTGAAAGTGCTGAGTCCTAACCACTGCACTGACAGGGAATTTCTTTACATGACATTAAAGGGCTTCACTGGTAGCTCAGATGGTAAAGAATCCACCTGCAATGCTGGAGACCTGGGTTCGATCCCTGGGTTGGGAAGATCCCCTGGAGAAGGAAATGGCAACCCACTCCAGTATTCTTGCCTGAAGAATTCCATGGACAGAGGAACCTGGCAGGCTACAGTCCACGGGGTGGCAAAGAGTCGGACATGACTGAGTGACCAACACATGGCATTTATTTAATCTGTAATTAATTAAAAGATACTTGCTCCTTGGAAGAAAAGCTATGACAAACCTAGGCAGCATATTAAAAAGCAAAAGTCTTTTTAACTCTTTACTTTGCCAACAAAGGTCTGTATAGTCAAAGCTATGATTTTTCCAGTAGTCATGTATGGATGTGAGAGTTGGACCATAAAGAAGGTTGAGCCATGAAAAATTGATGCTTTTGAACTGTGGTACTGGAAAAGACTCTTGAGAGTCTGCTGAACTACAAGGAGATCCAACCACTCCATCCTAAAGGAAGTCAACCCTATATACTCATTGGAAAAACTGATGCTGAAGCTGAAGCTCCAATACTTTGGCCAGCTGATGTAAAGAGCCGACCCTGATGCTGGGAAAGATTGAAGGCAGGAGGAGAAGGGAACGACAGAGGATGAGATGGTTGAATGGCATCACTGACTCAATGGACATGAGTTTGAGCAAGAAATGAGTTTGAGCAAGTTCTGGGAGATGGTAAAGGACAGGAAAGCCTGGCATACTGTAGTCCATGGGGTCGCAAAGAGTCGGACACAACTAAGCAACTGAACAACAAGAAAAGTTATTTTTTAAAAAAGATAACAACCATAAGTCATGGTCACGTCTAGAGAAATAAGCAATAATTCCTCTTTGTTGTTTAGTTGCTCAGTCCTGTCCAACCCTTTTGCAACCCAATGGACTGTAAGCCTGCCAGGCTTCTCTGTCCATGGGATTTACCAGGCAAGAATACTGGAGTGGGTTGCCATTTCCTTTTCCAGGGAATCTTCCCAATCCAGATACTGAACCCGTGTCTCCTACATTTGCAGGCAGATTCTTTACCACTGAGCCACCAGGGAGCCCCAATAATTCTTTAGTATCATTCATGTTTATCTGTTGTCTCATAAACATTTAAAAGAATATTTCATCATTTGAAATGGGATCCAAACAAAGACCATGTATTGTATTGGTTGCTATATCTCTTAAATGGGGCTTCCCAGGTGGCTTAGTGGTAAAGAATCTGCCCTCAATGCATGAGACTCAAGAGACACAGGTTCAATTCCTGGGTCAGGAAGATCCCCTGGAGGAGGGCAGGCTGTTTCACAATGTCTTCCCACCTTGAAATGGCCCCTCTCTACTCTCTGCCAGTCCAGTTCTTTTAGTGTTTATTTTCAGCCTCCGGGAAGTCTTCTCTTTTCCCCAGGCAGAAACAATCTCTTTTTTTCAACTCTTCTGGCATATTTATTAACAAAACCGTACTACTTAAGTGCACCAATGGTATTATCAGGTATGCTCAGTATTATAACTGTTCAGATGTAAGGACCCTTATTTAGTGTAAGCTCCTTGAGGGGTAGGGATCCCTCATATATCTTTCTGTTTGGTTTCTAGCTTAGTGCCTTGAGACTTGCTAGAATGTTACTCTACACCTAGACTATGAACTTGTTAACAGCAGAGATTTACTGGCATTTGACCTTACAGAGGGCCAAGTGCCTAGAAGATACTCCGTGTTTATTGGGTAAATGAGTGAACTTATTTTAAAAGGTGGTACATGATTAGTGTATGGATGTTTGTGAAGGGAATGGCTACCCCCTCCAGTATTCTTCGGGCTTCTCTCGTGGCTCTGACGATAAAGAATATGCCTGCAATACAGGAGACCTGGATTCAGTCCTAGGCTGGGAAGATCCCCTGGAGGAGGGGAGCAGTTCCCTCCTCCAGAGGTACATGGTGACTGTATGGATTTTAGTGAAGGGGTATTTAATCATTGTTAAAAAAATTGGATCCCGGATACTTTGTTTTATCTAATGTGCATAAGCTATACTCATTTTCAGATACTCTGCTAGATCCTTTCCCATTACAGTGCTCTCTTTAGTTTTTCTTGTTTCTCTTAACAAAATCAATTCATCAATAGATGTTTGCTGACTGAGGGAGCTCTAACTGGTGCTCTGTGACAACCTAGAGGGGTGGGTTGGCCTGGGAGGTGGGAAGGAGTTTCAAGAGGGAGGGGATATATGTACACCTATGGCGATTCATGCTGATATATGGCAGAAACCAACATAATATTGTAAAGCAATTATCCTTCAATTAAAAATAAATTACAAAATAGAAAAAAAAAAGATGATTGCTTATCCCAGATAAGTTTTAGTTTCCTGTATAGCTCAGATGCCCAAAAAACCCAAAGAAAAAGAGAATAAAAGATAACTTAAAATATATTGCATTTTTCTAGGCTTGCTGTGGTGGTTTAGTTGCTAAGTCGTGTCTGACTCGTGACGTCATGGACTGTAGTCTGCTAGGCTTCTTTGTCCATGGATTCTCCAGGCGAGAATACTGGAATGGGTTGCCATTTCCTTTGCCAGGGGATCTTCTTGACCCAGGAGTCGAACCCCGATCTTCTGCATTGCAGGCTGATTCTTTACCGACTAAGCTACGAGGGAAGCTTACTTATTTTTTAAAATGACTTTGGACGTTTGACCATTTGGGGAGGTTTGTATATGGTAGCTTAAAACTTAAATTATACTAACTGTGCCTTTACTTGATTGAAAATGTATTTGTGAACTGCTGTGGTAAATTTAGTATTTACTTTTTTTCAGCTTGCTTGAATTTCCTGAAGTTGTGCAAAATAAAATATTACAATTATTGCCTTATTCACAATGTCCAGGTGAGTTGGTAGATATTAGTCATGTTCTTTGTTATTGGAACCGTCTAACAAACTCTGAATTAACGAAGTCCCCTGTATATTACAGAGGGATTTTATCATACAGACTGGTGATCCTACAGGGACTGGACGTGGAGGAGAATCAGTTTTTGGGTAAGTTTCTTTATTTTCAAATGAATAAAAATAGAAATTCCTCTTAAAAATGTTAAGTAGTGTATCTCAATCTGCATTTTTAAATATGGTTCAAATACAGATTTTTCCCAAGTTCCATAAATGTCTATAGCAAAAAAAGGAATATTCTGAATAAAGGTGCCATTTCTATAAAGAAATGGTAACCTTATATGCTAACTCTAGTCCCCTTTATTTATAATCCTAGTATGTCTGCATTTCATGTTGAGTGTACTTATATTTTATAACCTTATTATATATATTTTTAGTCAACTGTATGGTGATCAAGCAAGCTTTTTCGAGGCTGAAAAAGTGCCAAGAATTAAGCACAAGAAGAAAGGCACTGTGTCCATGGTGAACAATGGCAGTGATCAGCATGGATCTCAGGTTAGGAACTTCGTGAGGAGATGAGTTTTGCTGGAGGGCACCATGAAATTATCTTTTTGAACTATCTAGTAAGGAGAGAATTTCAACCAAAGATATTTGTTAGAATTTAAAAATGACACTGTTTTTTCCTATGTTTAAAAAAACCCTTATTATTTTGTTCTTTTGAATGTAAGGCATATCCTTTGGGAGGAATTTAGAAAATACAGGAAACTTGTAAAAAAAAAAACCGGAAAGTACAAAGAAGAAAATAGCATTACCTATAATCCCACAATTCATAGATCATCACTGTTCAGAGATAGAAAGGCCTGTTCTTGCAGTATTTATTACTTATTTCAAGACAGGTCATGTTGAGCACGTTTCACTCACTGTCACAATGTTCCCATTGGAGTAGATGCTTTTTTTCCACAGAGTTTACTTGTGAAAAAACTTGAGATTTGGTTTGTTCAAGTATTTTTTAAACAATCAAGCATCTGTGTATTTATTAATATTTTATATTTAAACTTTGTGCCTTTCACTTAGTACTAGTACCAAGTGGGTGAGAAATACTAGTAGCAAGTACTAAATGCAGTTAATGTAGAGTCTTTTGTAACTAATACCAGTTTGAATTATATATATATATATATAGGTATATATTTGTATTTATTAAATGTCTTTTTATATAGTTTCTTATTACCACAGGAGAGAATCTGGATTACCTCGATGGCGTTCATACAGTGTTTGGTGAGGTGACAGAAGGCATGGACATAATTAAGAAAATTAATGAGACCTTTGTTGATAAGGACTTTGTACCATATCAAGATATCAGGTATGGTTACTACTTATTATTGGAATGGACTATGGCGTTTTCATATGTGATGTTTGCCAGATCATAGGGATGGCATACATAGGACTGGTTTTTGGATAATCCTAAAATGTGAGTTAATTGGGGACAATAAGAATCTTTTGGAGAAGGCAGTGGCACCCCACTCCAGTACTCTTGCCTGGAAAATCCCATGGACAGAGGAGCCTGGTAGGCTGGGGTCCATGGGGTCGCTAAGCGTCAGACACGACTGAGTGACTTTACTTTCACTTTTCACTTTCATGCATTGGAGAAGGAAATGGCAACCCAATCCACTATTCTTGCATGGAGAATCCCAGGGATGGGGGAGCCTGGTGGGCTGCCATCTGTGGGGTCGCACAGAGACGGACACAACTGAAGTGACTTAGCAGTAAGAATCTTTATAACAGAGAAGACCATTACTGTACTAATTATAATTGCTTACGTTGGGAGGAATTACTAATTTTTTAGTTTTTTTTTTAAAAATTCAGATTATTGAAAGAGATGACAAGATTACTAAGATATAGCTATTCATATTACATCTTAGCATAATGCAGAGAATTAATATATAATATCAAGCACTCAAAATATCAAAATATATCCTAGTAATACCCCTGTGCAATAAAATTTAAGAGCTTATGGATTTTTTTTTTTTGGCATTAGGGATACTTAGTATATTTGTTATAATTTTTATAAAAAATGAAACATGGATTCTGAAATAATATGAATGTAACACTTGACTTGGATTTATTTTATAAGGATAAATCATACGGTGATTTTAGATGATCCATTTGATGATCCTCCTGATTTGTTAATTCCTGATCGATCACCAGAACCTACCAGAGAACAACTAGATGTGAGTCGAGTCTTCTTATGATTGAATGTACATACATATTAATGTTTTGCATAGATTTTGCTTTTTACCTTTTTAAAACTTACTTCTCCAGAATGACTATCTTGCTTGATCAGTAATACTAAGCAAAGTTTGCAATTCTTTTTCTCTTCCATGGAGACACTCATTTTTATACTTGTCTTTTCCCTAATATTCTTTCTTCAGTTTCTGTTCTACCAGAACAGTCTTAGCTCTGAATACAAATACCTTGATAAAATGTTTCTCTTACCTCTTAACTCTAGATAGAGTATAGCTTTAAGACTAAATTACGTTGTCAGCTTGTGAGGGAACTTTTCAACTGGGGACACTTTTGAGCCAGGCTGGAATGCAGAAATTTCTGTGACTTAGTGGAGACTTCCCCTCAGATCTTTTAAGGTATAAATTTCTGCTTAATGAGACTTCCTCAAAGCTGAGTTTATCTCTATAGTTAGGATTTAATCCTTAATTTCTAAGATCATTTATCTTATGTATTCAGCACTTACTTGGATACCGGATAGTTCTTATATAAATGTTTATTTTGATTTAAAAATAAATTAGAAGCCTAGTTTAGTTTATATTAATGAATTAGCTTAAATCAGTTTTCAGAGGTTTATAAGTTTGTTTCACATTTGTGAAACAAATGTTTTAACAAATTTGATGAAACTAAGAATAAAGCATAATGTCTCATGTTTCTTAGATTTTTCTTTTATATATATATGTGTGTATATATATATATGAGTAACTTCTGCCTTACAGAGTGGTCGAATTGGAGCAGATGAAGAAATTGATGATTTCAAAGGGAGATCAGCTGAAGAAGTAGAAGAAATAAAGGCTGAAAAAGAGGCCAAAACTCAAGCTATTCTACTAGAAATGGTAAAGTAATTAATTTGTTCAAATAGTTGTTCAGCAGTGTGTTCAATACATACTCATTGTGAGTTTATTCCTGACTTATTGATAGTATTAAAATATTAAAAATTAGCTGAGTTCTTTTCTGGGTTAAATTTGATATGACATAATAATACATATGAAAGTAAGCAGTTTGGTTCTACTGTCAGTGTAGTGTCAAATGCATTTTAAGCAAATGGGAAATGGGTATCTAGTTTATAAATATTAATTGGATTTCAGTTGCTTATACTTATCTCAGGTTTTTTTTTTTAAATTTTTTAAATTTTTAAATTTTTTTTCCATTTATTTTTATTAGTTGGAAGCTGATTACTTTACAACATTGCAGTGGTTTTTGTCATACATTGAAATGAATTAGCCATGGATTTACATGTATTCCCCATCCCAGTCCCCCCTCCCACCTCCCTCTCCACCCGATCCCTCTGGGTCTTCCCAGTGCACCAGGCCCGAGCACTTGTTATCTCAGTTTTAAAGAGTTTCTTGGACTGAATTTTAAGTATAATAGAGAAAAATGTTTTGTATATCTCTAGTATTGAGATTAAATAATAGAATAATAATTATAGGATAAAATAAACCTGGGCAGAAATTGAACCTCTAAAATGTACTCCTTTTCTCTTTTACTAGCAATATGAAATTATTTGGGGAACAGTTATTCAGTACATGGTTATTTCACCTACTAGGCTTTTTTTCCCCATTTCTTATGTTTGTGGAATAGTATACCTTTCGTGTAGTAGATCATCAATTTTGGAATGGATAGCTAATAATTAAGTTTCTATTGCTAACGTCAGTTTATATAACAGAGCTTTCGGATTCATTATCTGTTTTAAAATTTGTATTAGCATCACTAGTCTGAAGGAACAAATATTAAAGAGTATAGTTCAAGAAAACTTTACTGAATTAAAAAAGTTAAAAAAGCACAGCTTAATGAACATAATGTGTTACCTGAGAATTCTGACCCAGAAGAGTCAACACCAAGACAAACTCTAAGAAAATTATGGACTTAAAAGAAAAATCTTTTGAACACCTGGCAGCAAGAGTAAGTGACTTAAAAGGGAATGAACATTAGATTATCATTAGAGTGTTCAACAACAAATAATAGAAAGTATATGCCAGAATTAAAGGGTTTAACATATTCTGTAAACTTTTTTTATTTTCAGAGAATTTCAAATTTACAGAAAAAAAAATAATGCAGAGAACTTCTATATAACTTTTACCCAGGTTCATCCTTTTTTTTCTTTTTTTTTGGCCATACCACACGGCAAGTGAAACTATGAGCCATGCCATGTAGGGCCAGCCAAAATGGACAGGTCATGGTGGAGAGTTCTGACAAAACATGATCCAATGGAGAAGGGAATGGCAAACCACTTAAATATTCTTGCCTTGAGATTCCCATGAACAGTATGAAAAGGAAAAAAGATATGACACTGAAAGATGAACTCCTCAGGTCAGTAGGTACCCAGTATGCTTCTGGAGAAGAGTGGAAAAATAGCTCCAGAAAGAATGAAGAAGCTGAGCCAAAGCAAAAATAGTGCCCAGTGGTGGATGTGACTGGTGATAGGAAGTCAAGTCAGATGCTGTAAAGAACAATACTGCTTAGGAACCTGGAATGTTAGGTCTATGAATCAAGGTAAATTTAAAGTGGTCAAACAGGATGGCAAGAATGAACATTGATATTTTAGGAATCAGTGAACTGAAATGGACAGGAATGGGTGAATTTAATTCAGGTGACTATTGTATCTACTACTGTGGGCAAGAATCCCTTAGAAGAAATAGAGTAGCCATCATATTCAACAAAAGAGTCCGAAATGCAGTACTTGGACGCAATCTCAAAAACGACAGAATGATCTCTTGTTCATTTCCAAGGCAAACCATTATCATAGTAATCAAAGTCTATGCCCCAACCATTAATGCCAAGGAAGCTGAAGTTAAACGGTTCTATGAAGACCTATAAGACTTTCTGCAACTAACATCAAAAAAAGATGTCCTTTTCATCATAGGGGACTGGAATGCAAAAGTAGGAACTCAAGAGATACCCAGAGTAACAGGCAAGTTTGATCTTGGAGTACAACATGAAGCAGATCAAAGGCTAACAGAGTTTTGCCAAGAGAATGCACTGGTCAGAGCAAACACCCTCTTCCAACAACACAGGAGACAACTCTGCACATGGACATCACTAGCTGGTCAATACTGAAATCAGTTTGTTTCTTTGCAGCCAAAGATGGAGAAACTCTATACAGTCAGCGAAAACAAGACTGGGAGCTGACTGTGGCTCAGATCATAAACTCCTTATTGTGAAATTCACACTTAAATTGTCTGAGGAGGCCTTATAAATAACTGAGAAAAGAGAAGTGAAAGGCAAAGTGAAAATGAAAGATATATCTATTTGAAGGCAGAGTTCCAAAGAATAGCAAGGAGAAATAAGAAAGCCTTCCTCAGTGATCCATGCAAAGAGATAGAGGAAAACAATAGAATGGGAAAGACTAGAGATCTCTTCAAGAAAATTAGAGATAACAAGGGAACATTTCATGCAAAGATGGGCACAAGAAAGGCCAGAAATAGCATGGACCTGACACAAGCAGAAGATATTAAGAAGAGGTGACAAGAATATGCAGAAGAACTATACAAAGAAGATCTTCATGACCCATATAACCACAGTGGTGTGATCACTCACCTAGAGCCAGACATCCTGGAATGCAAAGTTGAGTGGGCCTTAGGAAGCATCACTGCGAACAAAGCTAATGGAGGTGCTGGAATTCCATCTGAGCTATTTCCATTCCTAAAAGATGATGCTGTGAACGTGCTGCACTCAATATGCCAGCAAATTTGGAAAACTCAGCATTGGCCCCTGGACTGGAAAAGGTCAGTTTTCATTCCAGTCCCAAAGAAAGGCAATGCCAAGAATGTTCAAACTACCACACAATTGCACTCATCTCAATGCTAGCAGAGTAATGCTCAAAATTCTCCAAGTGAGGCTTCAACAGCATGTGAACTGAGAACTTCCAGATGTTCACACTGGATTTAGAAAAGGCAGATGAACCAGAGATCAAATTGCCAACATCTGTTGGATCATCAAAAAAGCAAGAGAGTTCCAAAAAAACATCTGCTTCATTGACTATGCTAAAGCCTTTGACTATGTGGATCACAACAAACTGGAAAATTCTTCAAGAGATGGGAATGCAAGACCACCTGATCTGCCTCCTGAGAAGTCTATATGAAGGTCAGGAAGCAACAGTTAGAACTGGATATGAAACAATGGACTGGTTCCAAATTGGGAAAGGAGTTCGTCAAGGCTGTATATTGTCATGTTGCTTATTTAACTTATATTTATAGAGTATGTCATATGAAATGCCGGAATGGATGAAGCACAAGCTGGGAGAAATATCAATAACCTCAGATATGCAGATGACACCACTCTTACGGGAGAAAGCGAAGAAGAACTGAAGAGCCTCTTGATAAAAGTGAAAGAGGAGAGTGAAAAAGCTGGCTTAAAACTCAACATTCAAAAAATTAAGATTATGGCATCCGGTCCCATCACTTCATGGCAAATAGATGGAAAAACAATGGAAACAGTGAGAGACTTAATTTTCTTGGGCTCTAAAATCACTGCAGTTGGTGACTGTAGCAATGAAATTAAAAGATGCTTGCTCCTTGGAAGAAAATCTATGACAAACCTAGATAGCATATTAAAAAAGCAGAGACATTAATTTGCCAACAGAGGTCCATCTAGTCAAAGCTATGGTTTTTTCATTAGTCATCTATGGATGTGAGAGCTGGGCCATGAAGAAGGCTGAGTGCTGAAGAATTGATGCTTTTGAACTGTGGTGTTGGAGAAGACTCTTGAGAATCCCTTGGGTTGCAAGGAGATCAAACCAGTCAATCCTAAAGGAAATCAGTTCTGAATTGGAAGGATTGATGTTGAAGCTGCAATAGTTTGGCCACCTGATGTAAAGAACTGACTCATTGGAAAAGACCCTGATGCTGGGAAAGATTGAAGGCACGAGGAGAAGGGGGTGACAGAGGATGAGTTGGTTGGCTGGCATCACTAGCTCAATGGACTTGAGTTTGAGCAAGCTCCAGGAGTTGGTGAAGGACAGGGAAGCCTGGCGTGCTGTAGTCCATGGGGTTGTTAAGAGTCAGACATGACTGAGTGACTGAACTGAACTGAACATGGCAAGTATTTTCCCTGACCAGGGTCAAACGTTTACCCACTGTGCTGTGAGCACAGTGTCTTAGCTACTGGACCATAAGGGAAGTCCCTCCCCCCTACCTTTTTAAAAATGTGTTTATCCAAGAGGAGACACTTCACATGATAATCTTGCCTGAACTCATCTCTGAGAATTTTTTAATATATGTATGAAGGAATGTTGTTTCCCCACCTAAAGGCTCATGGTAAATATATTTTTCTCACAGTGAAAACAACACCATCATTAAATCATGGTTTTATCTTACTGTCACCCTCTCGAGTTCTTCAGCAGAATGCAGTTTGCTTGGTTCATTGTGGTAGTTGACTATGAAGTTGACTTTGGTTTGCCTGGAGTAGATGATGATAATGTGAGGTCAAAAAGCTCAAAACTGTATCCAGGAATTGGTGTTCCATACTGCACAATACGGTGGAAGAGAATTGGGCATTACTTACTTAAAAGGCTAGATTCAATGTAATAGTATTTCAAAAGTTTAAAAACAAGCAAAACTAAACACTATGTTAGGGATATATACCTGTATAAATCTGTAAGGGAATGGCCAGGAATGAAAATTGAAGGCTCATTTGTGGTGAGAGAGAAAGAAGGATAATGAAATCAGGGAGCATTTTACTGGTAGTTCTTAGGCTGGTTATCACCATGGGGTCTTTTTATTTTCATGCTACTTAATTTAGATATACTTTTTGTAAATTCTTTAAAAAATAGATCAAGTACTTGAAAAAAGAAAAAATAGAGATAAAACTGGAAGTCTAAAGCCAGTAGACTTGGTAAATGTTGACTTTGTGTGAATACCATGCCTGTTACTCTTACTGCCAGGAAGAGTGGAGTTTTGAATTTTGAAATCTGTTTAGATCTCTTTCCCAGAGCCCACAGTTAATAATGTAAATTTAGATATTTTGGGGAATCAGCAATGGGAGCTAACTTCATGGTATTTATGATGGAAATTAAATAAAAGTTAATTTATATTCTTATTTATCATTTAGGTGGGAGATCTACCTGATGCAGATATTAAACCTCCAGAAAATGTGCTGTTTGTTTGTAAATTGAATCCAGTGACCACAGATGAAGATCTGGAGATAATATTCTCAAGATTTGGGCCAATAAGAAGGTAGTCTCTAGAATTAGTGAAAGATTTAGAGAAACTAGGTATTGGTGGTTTTCTAATGACATTTTTGATGAGTCTCTGAACTATAGATGAAATTTATATTAGTGAGTTTTACAGGTGAATATGTTGAACAGTAGGGAAGAAAAACACGTATGTATGCCTATGTGTAGGTGTGTATGTGTGTGTGTTATAAATTGAGTGATTTTCTTACAAAACATACATTTCAACTGTAAAACAGGAAGTGAATGAAACCGTTTAAGTGTAGTTCTATAGTATTTTCAAAAACCTTATTTAATATTTTAAATGTCTTGTCTCATTTAAATTCTCCCTAGAATTTCCAGCAACCTCTTCCAAAATTAATTTTAATCTAAATTTTCTAAAATTTTTCTTTTTGTTAATTTTGCCTGAATTATTAATGCAAAAGTTTTGAAGCTAGTATTTCTTTGAGAAAGGGAAGTATTTTATAATTGATTAAAAGTATTATCTTTAGAATTTCCTTTTATTTCATGTTTTTTCTTCTGTGAAGCCATTCTTTATTATTCCTACTGAAAGAAAAATTTTTCTTTAAAAGACTACCTGACTTTATTCTTCCACTCACTGATAGTATATCATCTTTATAAAAAAAATTCTTCTTTTTAAAAAATTTTTTTTTCATTTATTTTTATTAGTTGGAGCATCTTTATAAAAAAATTCTTACACTGTTACATCTTATTTTTAAATTGGACATTATATACTCATTTGTTCTCCCTGCCTGCTACTTTGGTTGTATCATAACTTTGGTTAAGTCTTTGTTCAATATTTACATTTTAATGTGTACTTAAATATTGCAACAGCTGAACCATGTTCTTTAATGTGATTAATTATCCTTTCACAATTTTTTTTCCTCTCGCAATGTTTTATATTCCTGTTTCATATCATGTTTTTAAAATGAGGCTTAAGATATATGAGCAAAAAGGGTTAAACCAAGTGCGTCAGATTCCACCTTACTGGCTATTTCATTTGGTTATTAAGATGGATTGGTTCTATGTAATAGCTGTACTTACGGGATTAAATTTGAGCCTTGTTTATATTAAAATTAAAAAAAAACCCAATCATAAGTTTACTAATAAGCATGCATATATATATGAATATGTGTGCATTATTCTGTAGTGACATTAGATAATCTATAATTCATTTGTATTTGACTAAAAATAATGATTTAAAAGAAGTTTTAGCAGTAATTTCCCTTTGCTAAAGAAAAATTAAATGTTTTTATTTTGTTCTCCAGTGTTTTAGGAATTTAGGATTATAGGCCTGTATAGGGCATTTATAGTAGAATCTAGAAAACTTAGTTACTAGACAGGTCAGTTATTTTAAAAAAATAATTATTATTGAAGATATTTGGAGGAATATAACTCTGTGAATTTAACTTTGCCTTTTAATAATTGGCTTATTTTGTTTTTTACTTTTGAGAAGTAACAGTGAATGCTCTTTCTTTCTTTCTTTTTCCACGCTTACTTTCAAGTTGTGAAGTTATCCGGGATTGGAAGACTGGAGAATCCCTGTGTTATGCTTTTATTGAATTTGAAAAAGTAAGTTATAGTATAGCTATCTTAAATTTGTATTTTTTTTTGTTCTGTGGTGTTAAAGTGCGAAAATGTAGAGAACTTTTTCTAGTCTGGAAGATTAGGAAATTAGTTTGGCATTTCTTTAGCACCTAAGAAAAATAACTTTAATTATATTCAAATAGAGAATAAGTTTAATATCTGTTAATGTTAGTATATGTACTTTTATTTACTGTGTAAATGTATCTAAAACTTTTTTAAAGTTTTAGGTAAAGTCCTTCACATTCTATAAGTAAGTTTTCAGTGCTATTTAGGTAGATATAACAATTGAGTAGTAGAAAGAAAACCAGTTTGAGTGTTATTATGATCTAGATACTAATTTTAACTCTGTCACTGACCAAGTATTCTTTGATATTTGGCAGTTTATTTAGAATTCTTTTTTCTAGGCATTATTTTTCTTATAAATAAAATTTGAGGTTTGGATTAGATGGTACTTTCTAGATCTATAATAGGAATGATAGCTTATATTACTCAAGTAATTTTCTTTAAGCAAGTGTTATGCTCACATTTAGGTCTCATAACTCTGAGATAGGTACTATCCTCCTTTTCTAAATAAGTAAACTGGGACACACAGTGGTAGCATGACTTGTTTAAAATCGTGCACCTAGTTAATGTCATAGCCTTCTGTCCTGCTGTTTTATTTTCAAAGAAATAGTTAATAACTCAGTTAACACTCTTTGTTACAAGTATTAACTACCACCCATATTTGTAAAATTGTTCAGATTCAAAGCATTGTAAATACTCATATATTTAGTGTAATTCTTTTAAAAAATTATCAAATTTAAATGTGACTTATACAGTGGCCAGAAATATTTGTATTCTAGTTCTTCTCAGCACTTTTCTTCATCTGATAAATAAATACAAAAGCTGTTACTTACCCTTAGGATTTGAACTTAGATATGTCTGGTGCTATTCCTACTACTTTTGGCCATTTAGCTAGGCTGTGTTATTTCTTTTTGTAACTTTGAACAGATGTATGTCCAATAGTAGCTCATTCTGAATTATAATTGTTCCAAAGTATTTGTCATATACCTTCTGTGTTTCAGGCAATAGGCACTGCAATACGCCCTAGGGGTTCAAAATGTATACTGGAGGGTTGAGGAACACAGACACATAACAGATTATACCTAGACACTGTGTCAAGTGTACTAGAAATGATATTTACAAGGTACATCACTGTCAGCAGAAAGGAGATCTCGCCTACCTTTAGTTTGCTATGAATGTTTTTCTCATAGGGTTGTTATCAGAGTTAATTGAGATAATAGATGCAAAGCATTTGGTGCATAAATATTCAAATTTTAGTTTTAGTAACAAGGAACTTATTATATTTTCAGTATTTATTCTAGCTGCAGAAATCTTTTCCATAAAGATTTATGCTTGAGTTTTTATGATTACTCTCAGGAAGAAGATTGTGAGAAAGCATTCTTCAAAATGGACAATGTGCTTATAGATGACAGAAGAATACATGTAGACTTTAGCCAGTCTGTTGCAAAGGTTAAATGGAAAGGAAAAGGTATGTTGTTCATCTTCATTTGTTTCTGTTCTGCTTTGCATTCTTGTGTGCATGTGTATCTCCTTTGACAGTGCTGTTAGTTAGAAATGTTCAGAGATGTAAGTCCTGCTGTTTGATTTTATGTAGCTGCTTTCTAGCATCTAAGGTGGGTAGGGTGGGTGTGTGGGGGTGTGTGTGGGTGTGGGGATGTGTATTTTAAACTAACGATGAATGTATTTTCTACATTTGACTGTACTATAAATTACTTATAATTACCCATTGCAGACATGACATGTTTCCAAAGTAATTATTATGACTTTGGTGGTTTGGCTCTTCTAGATGCAAAACTTTCTTTTGGCCACACCGTGCGGTGTGCAGGATCTTAGTTCCCTGACCAGGGATCAATCCTGTGCCCTCTGCAGTGGAAGCAGAGTCTTAGTCACTGTACTGCCAGGGAAGTCCATGATGCAAACGCTTAATTCTTCCTTCTAAAGTTTGTTTGTTTTAGTTGTTATATGTATGTATATAGCTCAGATGGTAAAGAATCTGCCTGCAATGCAGGAAACCTGGGTTTGATCCGTGGGTTGGGAAGATCCCCTGGAGAAAGAAATGGCAATCCACTCAGGTATTCGTACCTGGAGAATCCCATGGACAGAGGAGCCTGGTGGGCAATAGTCCATGGGGTCACAGAAAGTCGGACACAACTAAGTGACTAACACACACATACAGTGCAAAATTGAATAGATCAATGAAAAGGTGGTAGAACAAAGTCTCTTTCACTCCTGCCTCTCATCCACCCAATTTCCCTTACCAGAGGTAACCGCTATCTGAGGAGGCCTTACAAATAGCTGTGAAAAGAGAAGCGAAAAGCAAAGGAGAAAAGGAAACATATTCCCATTTGAATGCAGAGTTCCAAAGAATAACCAGGAGAGATAAAGCCTTCCTCAGCGATCAATGCAAAGAAATAGAGGAAAACAACAGAATGCGAAAGACTAGAGATCGCTTCAAGAAAATTAGAGATACCAAGGGAACATTTCTTGCAAAGATGGGCTCAATAAAGGACAGAAATGGTATGGACCTAACAGAAGCAGAAAATACTAAGAGGTGACAAGAATACACAGAAAAACTGTACAAAAAAGATCTTCACGACCCAGATAATCAACATGGTTTGATCACTCACCTAAAGTCAGACATCCTGGAATGCAAAGTCAAGTGGGCCTTAGGAAGCATCACTACAAACAATGGTAGTGGAGGTGATGGAATTCCAGTTGAACTATTTCAAATCCTGTAAGATGATGCTGTGAAAGTGCTGCACTCAATATGCCAGCAAATTTGGAAAACTCAGCAGTGGCCACAGGACTGGAGAAGGTCAGTTTTCATTCCAATCCCAAAGAAAGGCAATGCCAAAGAATGCTCAAACTACTGCACAATTGCACTCATCTCACACGCTACTAAAGTAATGCTCAAAATTCTCCAAGCCAGGCTTCAGCAATATGTGAACCGTGAACTTCCAGATGCTCAAGCTGGTTTTAGAAAAGGCAGAGGAACCAGAGATCAAATTGCCAATATCCGCTGGATCATCAAAAGAGCAAGAGAGTTCCAGAAAAACATCTATTTCTGCTTTATCGACTATGCCAAAGCCTTCGACTGTGTGGATCACAATAAACTGTGAAAAATTCTGAAAGAGATGCGAATACCAGATCACATGACCTGCTTCTTGAGAAACCTGTATGCAGGTCAGGACGCAACAGTTAGAACTGAACATGGAACAAGAGACTGGTTCCAAATAGGAAAAGGAGTACGTCAAGGCCTTATATTGTCACCCTGCTTATTTAACTTATATGCAGAGTNAAAGACCCTGATGCTGGGAGGGATTGAGGGCAGGAGGAGAAGGGGACAACAGAGGATGAGATGGCTGGATGGCATCACCGACTCGATGGACATGAGTTTGGGCAAATTCCAGGAGTTGGTGATGTACAGGGAGGCCTGGCGGTGCTGCAGTTCATGGGGTCGCAAAGAGTCGGACACGACTGAGCGACTGAACTGAACTGAACTGACTAACCACAGCTACCTATTTCTTTTGTAACCTTCCACATATATTCTTTGAATATATCTAATAATACATATTAATATATATATATGTAAAAAAAGAAAGCATAACTGTTAGTCACTCAGTCTTGTCTGACTCTTTGCCACCCCGTGGACCATAGCCTACCAGGCTCCTCTGTCCATGGAATTCTCCAGGCAAGAATACTGGAGTGGGTTGCCATTTCCTTCTCCAGGGGATTTTTCTGACTCAGGGATTGATCTGGGTCTCCCACATTGCAGGCAGATTCTTTATCATCTGAGCCACTTATTTGATGTTTAGGATTTCATTTCATGTTTTCCCACATTATTATATGTGTGTGTGTGTGTGTGTGTGTGTGTGTGTGTATATATATACACATAAAATTTTCTCCTTTAAAAAAGAAACACACACATATGTATGTTTTCTCCTTTAGAAGAGGAAAGCAAATGACTGCAGGCTATACATAGTGTTTCTGTACTTTGCATTTTTCATTTAACAATATATCTAAGAGATAGTTGTATCAGTATATGAAGTAACAGTTTATCTTTTTAGTGGCTGTGTAGTGTTTGATTGAACTATGTATCATAATTTACTGAACCAGTCCTATTAAAGCACAGTCAAGTTTCTAATCTTTTGTTCTGTGTACTGTGTCCTATTCCTATACATATTGACATTCCCCACAAATGCATAAATATGTCAAATAAATTCCTCCTAGTAGTAGCATGCAAAACTTAGGTAGAATCTGTGTATACTGAAGTAATACGGGTTTTTGATCACTGATGCAGTGTTTTGGCAGTTATTCACCATGTAATGCTAAGTTTTACTAGGAATTGTAGGATTATTTTCTTTTTCTATATAATACTCCATTTCTCATGGTTCTTATGAACATTTTTTCCCTCCCCACATATGATAATTGTAGCTTTATGGTCAAAAGAATCAAGTATATTTAGGAAATATAGACAAACAATGACCGAATGCATTATGGTTCTGGTCCCGTGGTACTGCCAAATAGCTCTTCTGTGGAGCTCTTTTCCTAGAAAGCTAATTTAATTTTGTCATTTGGGATACATATGAAACAAATATTATTATAATTCCTCATTACAGAGGGGGAACTTGAGGCAGCTTCTTGTGAAGTGATTTACCCAGGGTCGGGTTTACCCAGATTTAAATCACTCCTGAATCTGAATAGTTTTTTTTCCTCCCTCTCAATTTTCTTTTCTTCCTAATGCATCTGCCCACTTTAAAAATAATACTGCCTTCCTAAGTAGTTTCAGTATAGTTTATTTATAGTAAAATGTCTTAGGAGACATGCTTCAGTTTCATGTGTGCTGTCATAAACATGTAATTTGTTGTTAATCTCAGTTCATGTTGCGATAATTTTATGTATTATGTTTTCACATTTAAAAAAATGAGTGGTATCCTATGCCCTGGGCTTCCCAGGTGGCTTAGTGGTAAAGAATATGCCTGCCATTGCAGGAGCTGCAGGAGACTTGGGTTTGATCCCTGCGTCGAGAAGATCCCCTGGAGGAGGAAATGGCAACCCACTCCAGTATTCTTGCCTGGAGAATCCCATGGACAGAGGAGCCTGGCGGGCTACAGTCCATAGGGTCACAGAGTTGGATATGACTGAGCGACTGAGCACACATCCTCTGTACCATTCACGGTGCGGGGTACTTTTCCTTATAGCCTTATGAGGTGATTCCAACAGCCCTCTGAAATGTTAATATTATTTTCAGTTCCTAAATGAAGAGCGTTTCAGAGAATTGAAGTTTCTTACCTACAACTTCTCACGAGTCAGAATTTGAATCCAGAACTTCTCGCTTTAATCTGTTGCTCCTTCTATACTTCATCCATGGTGAGACTTCTAATAGCAAGCACATGGCAGACACCTTTTCAGTGATGAAACCATGCCTATTTGCTACAGTTACCACTATTTTAACTCTTTATGTTGTTTCACATTTATATGAAACATTGTCTACTCGCTATTTTTGTTTCCAGAGCGTCTGAAATTGCCAATAGATTAACCTTGTCTTTGATGGTTACCCCTCTTTTTACTTTTCTCTTTTGTTTAAATACCCTGGTGGCAGTCAAGGTGTATATAGGTTTCTCAATCAAAACACCTGTGTACCTCAAGTCGGCTTTATTTGCACGTGGACTCTTGTGTAGCAGGCCTTCCCCTCTGGAAACCTTTCCTCACAATAGTTGAGGGGGTGGGTCAGGCGGGGTGGGTCAGGCAGGTTAGGCGGCAGGTCTAGGGCACAGACGGGAGCGGGACCCTCATCTGATGGAGACTAGGTTTGAGGTTAGAGAGGCTCCATGGGGTGCTCCCTCCTTTCATGCCCTGCTGCGGTGGCCAGTTAGCAGTCCTGTTTCTCTGAAGGAATTGTTGATTTCATTTTTGGCCCTTGGAGACAGTAAAGGTGCTCTTAAGAATTTCAAAGCAGAGACAATTTATCTTTGGTGCTCTCTTCAGCCCTTCCCTCTCACATCTCTTTAGTGAAAATCTGTACATTTCCTGCTATCCCCTATCTGCCTGGTGCTCTGTTGAGATTTTGAGCAGTCTTTCTTGACAAATAAGAGATCCTTAAACTCTCACTTCTTCTAAATGTATAAGCCTCTCTGATCCCAAGTACAAGTCCTAAGCCCTCAATTTCCTTTGGGCCTAATGTTCTCATAGACTTAATGGCTCTACTTAAACCCTGCATTATTTTCCAGTGGTTGTATCCTTTGTTTAATTTAGGATTTGAAAACTTGGTGTTGTAATATTCACATATATCATTAGGGGGCAGCATATCATTACCTAACTAAATGGATTTCTGAGTTCAGTTAAAATAATGGTGAAGAATGAATTAACATGATTCTTTTGTTTTCTTCTCAGCCTTTTATATCCTCTGATATATTGCTTAGTTGCTCAGTTGTGTCCGACTCTCTGCAACCCCATCGACTGTAGCCCTCTGTTCATGGGATTCTCTAGGCAAGAGTACTGGAGTGGGAAGCCATTCCCTTCTCCAGAGAATATTCCCAACCCAGGGGTCAAACCCCGGGTCTCCTGCATTGCAGGCAGATACTTTACCGTCTGAACACCAGGGAAGCCCCCCCCAACCCCCCCCCCCATATATATGCCACTTATAAAATAGTTCTTATGTATTCTGTCTCTTACAATTGTTATTCTTGTTTAATCGGGTGATTTTTCTAAGCTCCTTTTTCTTTTTTAAATAGGTGGTAAATACACCAAGAGTGATTTCAAGGAGTATGAAAAAGAACAGGATAAACCATCTAATTTGGTTCTGAAAGATAAAGTAAAGCCCAAACAGGAGTATCCTTCACAAGAACTAGTTGGCCCGTATGTGTTGACCTTCTACTCTGGAGAGTACATTGTCATATCTTATGAAAAGACTATAGAAAACAAGGTACCTGAATTCAGATGCTCTGTGACGAAATCAGTTTATCTCTTTTCACCATTTTACATATGTATACTTTGTTTTTTCAATATATTCTTTGTTGTGGGGAGAAAGTTAGGGTTGAGAAATTTTAAGACTAATTCTTTTACCTCCCTATACTTAGGTTAAGGTTACCACTTATTTTCAGAAGAAATGCGGTTAAGAGTTGTATTTTCTATATATAATCTTAATGTTTTAAATGTCTCACCGTCAGAAATTTCTTTACTGTTGCACTCCTACTGTGTGCAAGAGTTGACTTCTATAGGATTAAAAAGAAATCCAAAGACTTGAGTCTTTATAAATTTGTCCAAGTTTTAGGTTGAGACAAGAAAGAAGCAATGAAACATACTTTTCATGTGATGTCATTTTAATTTATTCATTGATACTCTCATTATAAACCTATCACTCCACACGTGGTTATTTCTTTTGCAGTTCTTATCTGGTGAATGGTTTCTTTGTTTCCTAGTTTCTATTGGTGTTTTAGGGATACTCTTTCCCCTTACTGTGTAAACATTTTTTTCCCAAAGAATTCATCAAGGAAAGATGAATATCAGGTTGACCTGTTGTGTGTTTGTTCTTTATTGTATTAGCTGTCTGCAGTGCACAAAGCATTGTAAGGTGTTAGAGCTGGATAATGTCTGGAGTGTACTGACATAGTCAACACGAGGGAAGCTTTCATATTCAGACTCTAAACCAAACACTAAACTAAGATTGGTCTGAAAAGATGAACATTAGAGGGCATTTGATTGAATTCTTAGCATCATAAAAGGTATGGATAGATACACTTGAGGTTGATTCACCAAATCTTTGAAATTAAATTGAGGCAAATCACTAGAAACTGCAGCTGGAAGAGGGGTGTGTGTAGGACAAATGAAAAGAAAGTCACCGTGGAGTATAAAGTAGAAAGAGCATCTTCTGCTGTAAAGGAAGGCTACCTAGTATAAGAGTGTTTTACATTCAAGGTGATAGATTACTATGAGTTAGGAAAGAAACTCAGCATGTTTGAGAAGCAGTCCCTAGCCTGGTGCTGCCTAATGAGACTTCCTGCAGCGATGGAAGCGTGCTGTACCTGCCCTGTCCAGTGTGGCTACTAACCACGTGTGGTTCGTGAGCGTCTCAAGTGGAATGAGGAACAGGGTTTTATAGCTTGTCTGGTTTTCATTAATCTAAATTTAAACCACTGCCCATAGCTAGTATTGAACAGTGTTGCTTTAACCCTTTGAAGTTGATACAGAAGACAGGCATGTCCTGGTGCAAACCACGTGTTCGGATATAGAATATTGAACAAGAGAAAGGAATTCATGAATCTGACCTAGTGGAATGATCTTTATGTTTTTGGTAATTGATAGGTTTTGTTTTAGCAAGACATTTATTGTTTCAGATACATTAATAGAGGGACAGGACATATGTTTTCATATATGTTTTCACATATATTACTTTATTACTGTGGTGAACAAGGAGGATTCTGAGGATTATCTAAGTACTGATAAGTCAGAAAGACATGGGAAGTACTTTATAGATCATGAGAGAGAAATTGCTATACAACTATTAATAAGATTCAAAAATAGAGGTAGAAGACGGAAGTTTAACTTCGCTAGACTAGACCTTGGTAAGTAATTGGAGAAGAGGTCAGGGGGATCACGAAATAGGGTATTGGAGAGATTTGACATCTTCTAAAAGTCTTGATGGTAGTAGTGAGTAGAAGATAGTGGACGAGCTAGGAAGGAAGAGATATAATGAGTGTCTTAGTAATGAGCCAATACTTATTTGGCTGTTACATGCCCAGAGAAATTTAGCTATGAAACATGGCCCCTGCCCACATGGACCTTGTGTTGTATTTTGGAGTTGGGGTAAGAACAGACATTAAATAATCACCATTAATTAAATATGTGTAGAATGTTGCAAAGAAGTGCATCTGTGGGATAGTTCATTTCAGTTCAGTTGCTCAGTCATGTCTGACTCTGCGATTCCATGAATCGCAGCACGCCAAGCCTCCCTGTCCATCACCAACTCCTGGAGTTTACCCAAACTCATGTCTGTTGAGTTGGTGATGCCATCCAACCATCTCATCCTTTGTCATCCCCTTCTCCTCCTGCCCTCAATCTTTCCCAGCATCAGGGTCTTTTTCAGTGAGTCAGCTCTTCACGTCAGGTGGCCAAAATACTGGAGTTTCAGCTTGAACATCAGTCCTTCCAGTGAATACCCAGGACTTTAGGATGGACTTACTGAATCTTCTTGCAGTCCAAGGGTCTCTCAAGAGTCTTCTCCAACAGCACAGTTCAAAAGCATCAATTCTTCAGTGATCAGCTTTCTTTGTAGCCCAACTCTTACATCCTTACATGACACTGGAAAAACCGTAGCCTTGACTAGGAGGAAGTACTTGTTGACAAAGTAATGTCTCTGCTTTTTAATATGCTGTCTAGGTTGGTCATAGCTTTCCTTCCAAGGAGTAAGCGTTTTTTAATTTATGGCTGCAGTCACCATCTGCAGTGATTTTGGAGCCCAGAAAAATAGTCAGCCACTGTTTCCACATCTATTTGCCATGAAGTGATGGGACCGGATGCCATGATCTTAGTTTCTGAATGTTGAGCTTTAAGCCAAGTTTTTCACTCTCCTTTTTTACTTTCATCAAGAGGCTCTTTAGTTCTTCTTCACTTTCTGCCATAAGGGTGGTGTCATCTGCATATCTGAGGTTATTGATATTTCTCCCAGCAATCTTGATTCCAGCTTGTGCTTCTTCCAGCCCAGTGTTTCTCATGGGATATGGGACTCATAGTAGAGGTGAGGGGTCAGAGGATCCTCAAATGATACTGTAAGTAGTGACATTAAAGCTACAGCAAATATGGGGAGATGAGGGCTGAGGTGGGGTACTGTTTTCTTTAACTCTGGTCCATTATTTAAGGAATACAGTTTACATCTTCCCCTTGGACAGTCCAAGTATAATCATACACATACACGCAGAATTGAAAGACAAGTTTGTAAAATAATATTTTTATTAGATTCCATGTACTCTGTTTTCTAGTCTGTGTTATTTTTAAATGCTGGCTTTCAGTGACCCACTAAATGGATTTTATACCCTGTTGAGTAGCAATTAGAAATACTCAGGAGCTCCGCCGCACTTGGAACAGAGCAGCATGTGTAGAGCAAACACTGAGGTGAAATCATAGGCAAGGGCTACTGGATTTGTATCCGGAAAAGGAGACTCTCCGGAAGGTACCGTGGAAACTCGTGTTACACGGACTAGAGGAAGAAAGAAGTTGGAGATAGTGGGGTAATGATAGGATGGCACAGGCGGACTCACTGGTGTCAGCCATCTTGTGACAAGCCAGAGGGTGCAGGGTTTCCTTACTGCACGACACGTCCCTGAGGGGGCATCGAGCTGTGGCCTGGTGAAAACAGACCTGAAACTCCGGTCCTGAGGGAAGTGTGTCTGCTTGCCTCTAGTGCCACACGCCACTAAAACGGTTCTGTGTTTGGGCTTCTTCCTAATCTTTTTTTTGAAAACCACTGTTCTAGTCTTGCCTGTTTAGGGTTTAAGATTATTGTTAGAGAGGTCCTAATGGTTTTACATTTTTTCTCATTCTCAGATACTGAAGCTTATGAAACACTTATTTCTAAGTTAAAGCATACATTATTATAATTTTTATAATATATTTATTGAGATTAAAAAATATTCACTCATAGGTCTACCATTTAGGCAAAGGATATATTTTATTTTTCCTTGTTCCTTTCAAATCTTGATCTTTTATGAAGTTTTATGAAATTATATACAGTTTTTGCTTCAAGCTGTTTTAACTTATTATTTTTTGTAAACACCATGCCACGTTATTTAACAGCATTCATTTGTCATTTTTAATAACTTCCTCTATAATTCCATGTTGCAGTACTCTGATGTGTTTATGTATATCGTTATTACTAGGCTGCTTATTGTTCTCAGTTTCTGTTATTTAAGATAAACCCTATTATGTATGCAGTTGGCCCTCTGCATCTTCAGATTCTACATCCGTGGATCTCTAACTGCAGATGGAAAATATTCTGGAAAAATATACCAGAAAGTCCCAAAAAGCAAAACTTCAATTTGCTGTGGAGGCAGCTATGTATTTATGTAGCATTTACATTGTATTTACAACTATTTATATCACATTTATATTGCGGTAGGTTTTATAAGTAATCTAGTGATTTGAAGTGTAAGGGAGCATGTGTGTAGGTTATAGGCAAGCACTATGCTGTTTATATAAGGGACGTGAACATCTGTGGCGTTTGGTCTCCCCAGGAGGTCCTGGAACCAATCCCTGTAGATAGTGAGGGACAGCTGTGCCGTTATTCATTTAACTTACTGTCATTTCAATTTTTTATGAATTCTTATTTGAATTTCAACATGAGAACTGTTGATATGCCTTGCTAAATTTTCTCCTGTGGTACTGAACTTAGACTCAAAAGAAGAGTCACGTGAGTGTATTTTCATCTTACATAGCTTCTCTGGCATTGGGGTTTATAATGTCTTAATATTTTCAAGTTAAATATGTGCCTCATTTTTTAAGTTTAAATTTTTTCCTTATTGACAAATAGGTTTCCTTATTTTTTTAATGCTACTTATATTTTTCATTTATGAAATCAATTTTTCCCCTGTGTTTTTTGCCCACTTACCCATTGTAAACTGTTTATTTGAAGCCAGAATTCTTTCCATTTTTCCTGCCTGTGTAATGAAGTAAAATATTAATTAGTTTTGTTTTAGAAGTATATTCTATGCTCTGAGATGCTTTTTGCTTTAAAAAGTTGTCTTCAGCCTGATGGCCTCCTTGTTGACCGGTCTCTCATGTTTTGATGTGTTATCCGGGTCAGTTCTCACATTTGTCCTTAACTAGCTGCCCCAGCGCCAAATACGAACTTGTACTGGATGAGCAGGCAGAAGACGTGAAGGCGAGTCACTCACACACAAGTAAGAAACACAAGAAGAAGACCCGCCACTGCTCTGAAGAAAAAGAAGATGAGGACTACATGCCAATCAAAAGTACCAACCAGGTACGTACTGCTACTCAGACTCCGCTGTGGAGAAATACATATTTCATCCATCTGTCACTTACATCTTAATGATGTAATTTAGGAATAAAGGTATGCTTCTGAACAGGGAGGGATGCATTCTTAATTCTTAAGATGTAGAACGGTTTTACTTGGGTAATGAAACTTTAATTTTCAAGAATATATAACAGATTATAAAAGATTGTTTTCAGAATAACTTAATATGTCATATAGTTCCACACTGTGAAGCAGAAGTGATTTTCATCTCTATGAACACTTACTCATTCCCATCAAAAACAAGTGTGGTTATGGTTAAAGAAAAAAAAATCCTTCTAATTTATCATGTTAACTTATTACCAGGTGTTGTGTATAGCACTTATAGCTCTTGAGGTTTTAGAACCTGAAAAAAACATTTATGCCCTCACATATGGTATATATGAAATAAAAGCCACGTTAAATAGTTAGCTTGTTCATCCCCAAAGCTTTCCTGAACAGTAAATTTTCTAAGACAATGATAATAAAACTTCCCCAAAGAAAGTAAATTAAAGAGAAGAAATCATTTCCAACCTGCAGTTTGGCTCTGAGTTAATTGAAAAGCAGATTACATTATGGCCCCTTGCTCTGGTTTTTACCACATGAGGACCTTTAAACTGGGCCTGGTAGATGAGGAGGCATTCAGTTGGCGGGGAGGTTGCGGGGGCTTATGGCAGTGGGAATGTCAAGCAAAGACACAAAGATGGAGAGATGCAGTGTGACTGGCACAGTAAAGGATTTGTCTGTCAGAGGAGCTAGGTTTGGATTCTTCACCAGCTGAGCCACAAGGGAAGCCCAGATTTCTACATTGCTGGTCACTGATGTGACCTCATCACATGACTTCGCTTTCTTCAGCCATGGTTTCCTCCTCTGTGAAACTGAGACAATACTTGTCTCCCAAAAGTGTGTGTGCAAACATGTTCTCCATTGGCTGTAACTATTATTTTTACAGTCAATATGTTTTACATCACTTGGAATCATTTCTCTCTGTGGTAAGGCCATTAACTGGATTCACATTTCAGTTTTTTCATTTTGATGTTTACAAATCACTTAAAATATTTTCTGTTGTAATTTGAAAAATTGTGTGGTTCCAAAGTAAAGTCTCCAGAGTGGTACACGCAGGGCACCTAGCGGCTATCCCTGCCCTCTCCCCTTTTTCTTCTTTCCCCAAGACAGCCATTTTATGTCTTGCATGGTTTCTTCTTTTTAAAAATGACAGCAAATGCATGTTTTATATGTATTAGCACCCTATTCTCTAGACAGCATATCTTCCTACTCCTTGCTGTCATCCAGCAAGGATCTAATCTCTCTTCTTTCAATTGCCCTTTATTCATGCCCTGCTCTCTGTTTTTAAGTTACACCCTTGTCAATCCCTCCAGTAATCCTCACATGAATCAGTAATAGTAACATCTCTTGCGTCCTTGTAATGCAAGGTGGATGCTATTGTCTCTATTCACAGGAAAGTAAAAGATAAAAAGGTTAAGCTACTTGCCAGTGGTCTTAATGCAGCTGGTAAGTAGTAGAAGCACAGTGTAAGTCTGGACCTGTACCCACTGCTGTTCCTCTTACCTGGAATGTATTCCTGTCAGATTCTTTCACAAATCTCCTTCCCTGAGATATATTCCTGCCAGCAGTTTTCTTTCCTCAATCCAATTGGGAATTCATGTAGCTTGTCCCACAGTATAATATTCCAGTGTCATCTAACAGGAACATCTCCCTATTAATTTTTATGCTCTTATTAATTTAGCCAACGATCATCTCATCTTTTTTAATGGTAGCTATGTCACATTTCTGTGAATATTTAGCATGTTTTCCACTAAAACTCTATAATCATGCCAACTCCCATATGTTGCCACAGCTCCTCATCTTATACTTGTACATGGAATCTGTGATGAATTTAGGCCTGAAATACACATTGATGTGTTTGAGATAATCAGCAGTCTTAAAAAAATCCGAAGATGGGCTGCATTTCAAGTCTGTGGTTCCCATCTTTGCACCCCTGCCTTTTTGTGAATCTTTCTTTGTCTTGCTGTTTGATTACTTAAGACTTTACAGTAACAACAGTAAATGTCCTTCTCTTTTGGCAATAATATTTTAACTTTATCCCTTCCCTTGAAGTGTATTAAAGCAGTTGTTTTTGGTTTTATACTTTGATTTAATAATATAGCTGCACTGATTTTCTTTTCCTCCTAATAAAATAGCATCCATATTTAAGATTTCAGTGGGCCCAGTTTTTTTCTATTATTCTGCTTTTTATCCTTTTGATTTTAATCTCAAAAGTATTACATAATCATTAAAGGAAATTTTCAGTGCTCAGCAATTTTCAGGTACAGCTCAAATTGTCCTATTTCTTGGTCTTTTTGCTTGGTGAGCTTAGTTTCCTAAGAATGCTTTATTTCTTCAAGTGCTTTGTTTTTTATTGACCGACAGCCTTACTGTTCAATTCGAAATCTGTTTATAATTTTTCCACCTCGTGTCTTAAATCCAGAGATGGTTACTGTGTTCTTAAAGTTTGAGTCTTACTGGGGTTACAGGAAATGAGTACTCCACCGCGGGCTGCCTGGCTGAGAAACATCAGCCTGCTTGCCTGTCCTCCTCTGTGGCTTTCATGGGTGTTCAGTGTTCTTATAATCCGGAGCTCTGTTTTTGTCATTTTCATCATTTAATATTATTTTAGTGATTTAGATGTTACTGAATCTCCAGTTTACTGCTGGAGACCTCATCAAAGGTTGATTTTTTAATTTTTTGACTACTAAACGTGAAGTCATTGGCTCAGTTAAGTTGATTGCCTTAAACTGGCCGTTTTATGGTATTCTTTCATTTTTTTTAGCTTCATGCTTGTTTAATCATCATGTCTTATTTCTTAAATCTATAAAATGAGTAGGATTTCTAAAAGTCCATATTGGAAATGACTTAGAGCTTATCTAAGTTGTTTCCCTTACCTTAGATAAGAAAATCCTGACCCCGCAAGCCTCCATGGACCTTATAGTTTAGTAGGAGGACTGAAATTTTAATGTTTTAAAAAAATTCAGTCAGATATGGTATTATTTTTTCATACTGCCCCCTTTTCAGTTTTATTTGTAAAGTTCCTGATCAGTTAAATAAGAGTCTCAGCTTCCTTATATCTCGTGACATACGCCACGAGTACTGAGCACTGTGCAAGCACACTCTTAGATCTGTTCTAATCTGGCTTCACCTAAACTCCTCTCCTTCATGCATGCGGTGCTGTCTTCCTTGCTGTCAGTTTTCACATACACTTCTTGCATTAGCCTTCTTGCAGGCAGTCCAAGCCCTCACTCACTCATCTTTTGAGGCTCAAGTCCTTTTTAGCTCCTCTGTGAACCTTCACTGATAAATCTAACCTCAAGAGGATTTGTTTGACACCCTTCCTAAATGGCAAAGACCATTTGAACCTAGAACTGTGTGACTTCAAAGCTTGTGTAGCTTTGAAAACTAAGCCAAGTAGGAGAGGCTTTAAGATTTCAGTCCATTTCAGGTTTTCAGCTTCCTCAACTTTTTTCAAAGAATTAAGTACTATGTAATCTCTCTTTCTTATTTTATTTTGTTTTTTTCTCTTTCTTATTTTAAATACTCAAAGCATTTAAGTGCCTGTTGGTATAATAATGTGCGGAAGACTTTATAGGATTATCCATCAGTTGAAACAGTCTCCATTTAAGAAGTTTATTGCCTCAACCAGAACTTGCTGTACAGTCAGAATAATACATACATATTTACATTTTGTGTATGTTACAGGAAGAACAAAAAAAGTCTTTTTCCTAGGCATGTCACATTTTGCTCAAAAATAATTGGTAAAAGTTTAAGTTGAAACACCTACTCATTTTCTACCTCTGGGACTCTTACAGAATGATAGAAACTATTGGTATTGTGGGAAATAATGAATCAGTTTATAGGAGGTCTTCCACAAATGTTGTGGCACGCAGCAGTCTTGTTAGGTCTGTTTTCCCATACTGCAATCCCTGTAATAAGCATAATGTATGGTATCCAGACATTATATGGAATAATTGTGAATCATTTCCTTAAAACCCAGACCATAACCATGGATATTCATCACTTGGATTTTAAACTGACATTTACATCTACTGTAATAATGTCTAAGGTAATAGAGTTGGGCACTTGGGAGTTCAGTCCTCAGAGTTTCCCCTTTGTTTTGAGAAATCTTCTAAGAAAGTTGAATTTTATCAGTTATTCTTGAAAGAGCATTGGCTCTGATATCTTTAGATTTCAGCCACTTGCTGAGGTACTCATTTTGATCAAGGATAGGCATGAGCAGAGGCAGAGGGTGCTGTAACTGGCCCTTTTCTCTATGGGAGTTACTTCTGCTCCTTGAGGGGCTTCTGTGTTGGCTGAGATGGTAGAGACGGTAAAGCAGCCACCTGCAGTCCTGGAGGCCTGGGTTCAGAGCCTGGGTCGGGGAGATCTGCGGGAGAGGAGGATGGCCGCCCGCTCCACGTCCTTGCCTGGAGAATCCCCTGGACCTTGCTGCTCAGTTACTGAGAACAGAAGTGAATGCACCCGCTTTGAAGATTTAGAGAGGAGCTCTTATAAAAAAAAAAGTACTTTAAAAAATAATTGCTCAGACCCAAGTATTCAGAATCTGTTTTCTCTCCTCTTTAGACTGACTGACCTGTCTCAAATCTCTTTTGGATATGTTATTTAATTGATGTCTTCTTTATAGCATTCTTAATGGGGATTTTAGTAGTTTCATTGTGGATCAGTGATGGAACCACATTTTGGGGGAGTGGGGAAGGGGAGAGTGGAACAATGGCTGTGCATAACCAGAATTCTCAGTATTGCAATTTCTCCCAAAGACTTATTTCAACTGGGCTATTTCAGTTGCTTGTTTTTAGATGTGGTCTTTCAGTTCAGCTGAAAGAGTAGGTACAAAGCAGTGAGATCAGTCAGAAAATGGTTCAGTCTTTTTCTGAATTAGTTTTGCTTTTTAATTTGCAGGATTCTTGGCGTTAGTGGTGGTGTTCAAATTTGACCTGTTAAAACTGCTTGCTAATGGGGGATATGTCTTAAGTTTTGTGAATTTTTGATAGTCCTACAAAATGATTATTTTACTGATTCACTTATACCTCTCTCTCTCTTCCTTTGATAGGATATCTACAGGGAAATGGGCTTTGGTCACTATGAAGAAGAAGAAAGTTGTTGGGAGAAGCAGAAGAGTGAAAAGAGGGATCGACCTCAGGACCGAAGTCGTAGCCGATCTCGAGAAAGGGATGGCCACTATAGTAACAGTCACAAATCCAAATACCAGGCAGATCCCTATGAAAGAGAAAGGAGTAAAAAGAGAGACCGAAGCAGGAGTCCCAGGAAATCCAAAGATAAAGAAAAATCCAAGTACAGATGAAAGTGGATCAATCAGACATGAGTGCTAATATATTTACTCTTGTATAACTTGGAGTACCAGATGTTCAGATTTCGTGTCAGAGCAGTTAAAGACTCCGCTTGTTATTTTTTTTCACAGTAGGATTATGGCCCTTTTAGATTAATACTGATTGTGTAGGGCGCTGAAAGACAATAAAGAATTGAACATTTTCTTTGTATACTTTTTTACACTAATTTTATTGTTATACATAAATCAGTAGTTTTCATTTTTAAAGTCTTTCATATTTTCAGTCTTTATTTTTAATGAAGTATTTCATACCTGCAAAAATACACAATCATGTATATATAAGGTATAAAGAATAATAAATGTCTGTGTACCAATCAGCCAACTTAGGAAATGAATATTGCTGGCATTTTAAAAGTGCCGTCTCCTCAAATAATTATTATTTTGAATGTTGTGTTTGTCATTCTCTTGCTTATTACAGTTTTACAACATATGTAAGTATCCCTAAATGAAGTACTAAGTTTTGTATTTTTTTGAATTTTATATAAATGGTATAATGTGTGTTTACTTCTGTGACTGGCTTTTTTCAACTTAGTGTCTTCTAAAAGTCATCCACTTTTATTGCTATACTGTATTATATGACAAGTCTGTAATTTATCCATTCTTCTGTTGATGGATGTTTGGGGTTTTGGTTTTTGTTTTCTTTTTGCTGTTGTACACAGTGCTGCTATAAACATTCTTTATCTAGGAATAATTTGCATGGTTATATGATATGGATATTTTCATCTTTATAAGATAATGCCAAATTATATTCTGCAGTGGCTGTACCAGTTAATACCCCCAGGCAATATTTGAATTACCTTTGTTTCACATGATAATATTTCATATCGTATTTCACATCTAGTACTTGCTAATTTCAGACTTTTTAATTTTGTCCATCCAGTGGCTGTTAAGTGGTATATTATTAGAGTTTCCAGCAAGAACACTACTATTTTTCTTACATTTGTTCTTCTATATAAAATTTTTTTTTTATTCTTTTTCTCTGGTTGCTTTAAAAGTTTCTCTTGATCACTGCTGTTGAGCACTTTGATTATGATGTGCTTGGTATAGTTTTTGTTTGTTTGTTTTCCCCTTCTTGTTTCTTCTGCTGGGGCTGTTTATCTGTAGGTTTATGGTTTTCATCAAATTTGGAATTTGGGGGACTTTTTCATGACTTTTTTTTGTCTCTGGCCTTCATTTCTTCCCTCTGGGACTCTTCATTGTGTGTCAGACCTCTTGAAACTGTTGCAGCAAGTGCTCTTGTGCTCTGTTTTGTTTTCTGTCCTTTTTCCCTGCCTTCCAGATTGGTTTCAGTCGCCATTCCTCAGGTTCATTAGCCTTTTCTCCTGAAGTATCTAATTTCTTGTTAATCCCATCCAGTGTATTTTTCACCTCATATATTATATTTTTAATCTTCAGAAGTTCCATGTGGGTCTGTCTTGTATCTTCCATGTCTCTCCTTCCAGACTCCTGCTTTCCTCTTTTTTTTTGTTGTTTTTTTGTTTTGGACATCTGACATATATTTGTAATTACTATTTTAACCTTACTATCATCTACCATTTCTTGTCTGTTTCTATTGATTTTTTCCCCTCTCTTTATTAGGGTTGTAATTTCCTTCTTTGCATGCCTGGTAATTTTTGGATTTTACATTGTTGGGGGCTAGAGCTTATTCCTTTAAATATGTTGAGCTTTGTTCTGGGAGATAGTTATTTAGAAACAGCTTGATCCTTTATAGCTTGCTTTTACACTTAATGATCTAGGACCAGAACAGCCTTTAATCTAGAGCTAGTTGGGCTCACTACTGAGGTAATAACCCTTCTGAATAATCCTCCTTCTGCCTGGTTATGAGCTTTCTCCACGCTGGCTATGGAGAATGAGAACTGTTCTGAGCCCTGTATGAACTTGAATTTTACCACTTACTCCTTTCTGGTGGTTCTTCCCCACCTTTGGGTAGTCTTCTCAAGTGTATACACTGTTCAGCTGAAGCCTCAGGGGATCTCTCTGCAGAACTCTCCCTTTGTGGCCCCCTCCTCTCTCCGGTGCTCTGCGTATGTATGTATGAGTCGCTCAGTCGTGTCTGACTCTGGGACCCCATGGACTGGGGCCTGCCGGGCTTCTCTGTCCATGGGAGTTCCCAGGCAAGAATCTGGAGTGGGTTGCCATTTCCAGTACTCTGCCCTACAGATTTTACCTTGGTGTCCCAAATGCTCCGGTAGGGGAACACCCAGGCTCTCCCTGCAGCTAGTCCGGGCAGTGGTAGGACTTTCCTATTTGTTCTCTCAAGAGTCACTGCCCTGCACAGTTGTCCAGTGTCTGAAAAAGTCTGTTGTATATATTTTGTACAGGTGTTGCATTGGTTAACATGGAGAAGGGAAACCCTGGCCCTGTCACTCCACTTTGGCCAGAGTGAAAGTCTTATTGTTTGTGCATTTCCTAAATGCTAATAAGGTTGAGCTTCTTTTCACGTGTATTCATTTCCTGAATGCTCTCAGTGAAAAGCTTATTTCATGTCTTTTGTGCATTTTATATTATGTTATTGCTTTTTTATTTTATGTTTCCTTAAGGAATTAAACAGATTGTGGACACTAGTCCTTTTTTACTACTAAATGTTGTAAACATTTCTCACTGTTCATGGTTACATTTTCACCTATTGATGCCTTTGGAAGAGCACAGGTTGTAAATTCTGCCTCCCCCCACCTTTCTCCCCTGAACTTTTTAATATGAAAGGTTTCATACATGTGTAGAAACACAAAAACATAACAAACCTCCATATTTATTCCGTCCAGATTAAACTAACGTTTTGTGGTTGAATAATTTTAAAGTAAATTGAAGACATTTCACCTTTCAGTATTTCACCATGCATTTTCTAAAAAGTGTCCTTTATAACCACGATAGTATTGTCACACTGAAAACAAACAACAATCTCATATTATGTAACATACTCAGATTTCTCCCATTGTCCCAGGGATGTCATTTTTTGATGTTGATTTGTTTCTAAACCCAGTGTCAACCATGCTTCATGTAGTGCTTGTCGTTGTCATTTTATTCTCTTGATCTAAGAGTTCTCCTGCCATCCTTCCACCTCAACCACTTTTTTTTTTTTAATTTTTAGATGACATTGAAGAATTCAGGCCAGTTGCTTTGTAGAGTATTCCACATTCTGAAATTATTTGATGATATCTTCATGATGTCCTTCATCCTTTCTACTTTTTATAAGCTGTGAGTTAAGTCTAGATATTTGATTAAAATGAGGTTATGCATTTTAGACAAATTTTTAAGTTTAGTGTCAAATTTATTAACATTTCCCTATATGTTTTGTGCTTTTTGTATTTTGTTGAAGAAATCCTTAATAAAGATATTCTGCTATATTCCAAAAGTATAAAGTTTTATTTTTTACATTCAGTCCATATTGAATTGTTTGTGTGTTATGTGTATGGTGTGATAAGAGGGATTTAAATTCACTTTTCCCCCCACATATGGCTCTAATCAGTTGTCCAAAATCTATTATGAAGTGAAAGTCGCTCAGTTGTGTCTGACTCTTTGGAATGCCATGGACTCTACAACCCCATGGACTCTACAGTCCATGGCATTCTCCAGACCAGAATACTGGAGTGCGTAGCCTTTCCCTTCTCCAGGGGATCTTCCCAACCTAGGATTTGAACCAGGGTCTCCCACGTTGCAGGCAGATTCTTTACCAGCTGAGTGAGCCACGAGGGAAATAATGCTTTTTAAAAACCTGTTAGGAATGGTTCATCTACTTCCCATTGATCTGTCATATAAGTTTCTATAGATTTGTGTGTGGGTTTTGTTTCATGGGCTCTCTGTTCCATTGGTTTATTGTTTGTTCCAACATGAATACCAAGTATCTATATTTCTATGGCTTTAAAGAAGTCTTGGTATTTAAGCAACACCCTCCCTCCCCGCCCACACCCACCTCCCACCCCCCACCATCTGTTTCATTAGCAATGCTGTGGCAATTTTTTCTGTGTATTTGGAACCAACTTGTTAGGTTTCCCAAAGGATTCTGTTAGGACTTCAACTGTATTTATATTCAAATAGATCACTTTGTGGCAACAATATCTTCATGTATCTTCCTATGCATACAGGCTGCATGTGTGTGTGTGTATGCATGCATGTGCTCAGTGTCCAACTCTTTGTGATCCCATGGACTGTAGCCCACCAGGCCCCTCTGTCCATGGGATTTCCCAGGCAAGAATCCAGGAGTGGTTTGCCATTTCCTTTTCCAGGGGATCTTCCCCATCCAGGGATCAAACCTGAGTCTCTGGCATCTCCTGCATTGGCAGGCAGATTCTTTACCACTGCACCACCTGAGAGGCCCAAAGATAGCGAACCCCTCCATTTAATTCTTAGAATTTTCTTTTGAAAACTTTTGAACATTTTTTTTAGATTTACTGCTAGTTTATCATTTATGTTCTGTTATAAATGATATCTTACAAATGATTTTTTTCTGTTTCTTGACCAAAGAAGTTAGATTTTTGATTAAATATCCCTGAAATATCCAGCCATTTTGCTAAAAGTCTTTTATTTAGAATTTGTATGGTTTTCTTGGGTCCTGTGTGGACAATAAGTGACAGTGGTATTCATATAGTGCTTACTGGCTAAAATTTCTAGTACTGTGATAAAATTTTCCTATAATCTTCCTTTTCTGTGTTATTCTTAATCTGGATTTGATGTCCACATTATAGAGTTAAGTTTGTGACTGTTCTCTTTTTTTTCTATTAGAAGAGAAAGATTGAAATAGCTCTTCCTTGAATGTTGGACAGACGGTGCCTACAAAATGGTCTGACCTTAGCATTTCTTTTGTGAGAAAATTTAACTAATGATTAAATTTCAGTAATTATAGAATTCTTAGTTTTTCTATTACTCTCAAAAAGTTTATTCATTTTTGTTACTTTGTCTTTCTGTAAATTTTTTGTTTTCATTGATGTTTTCAATTTATGTGAAGATATTTGCAGTACACCTAGTTGGTTTTTTTTACTGCCCTTTTAATTTTGTCTTACTTGGTCCTGATGTTTTAGTGTCTCAGAAACAGCATATAGCAAAATGGGTTATGTTTTATCTGATCATAACTGATGAGTTTAGTCCTGATTATTTACTAATATATTTGGATTTATTCCTACAACCTTATTTTGTGCTTTTTTGGGTTTTTGTTTTCATTTTCTTTTGGATTAATTTAAAACTTGAAAAAATATTCTGCCCTCTTCCCCCTCATCTTCTTTGTCCTGGGGAATTGCCTTTGAATTTCCCATCCATACTTAAAATGTAAGGTGATATTTTCACCCTCCTTTCTAACTGAAGATATTAGACATCTTTAAAGTTTAAATCACCACTTTTCTAATTTTGTGCCATAATCCTCCAGTGTTTTAGTCTTAGCTTGTGATTTTTAACCTTAGAAATTAGTCTATATTGTTATTACCATTTTTATACAGGTAACTGTTAGATTTACCCATGTGTTAATCTTTTCTTTTACCTTCCATTCTTCTTGCATCTCAGATCTTCCACCTAGTATCATTTTGCATTTTTCTGAAGCACAGCCTTTGATTTCCTTGTGTGTGCGTGCTAAGTCACCTCAGTTGTGTCTGACTCTTGGCGGCCATATGGACTGTAGCCCACCAGGCTCCTTTGTCCATGGGATTTCCCAGGCAAGAATACTGGGCTTGGTTGCCATTTCCTTCTCCAGGGGAACTTCCTGACCCAGAGATCAAAACTTGCCTCTCTTATATCTCCTGCATTGGCAGGCGGGTTCTTTCCCACCAGTGCCACCTGGGAAACTGGCCATAAAAACAAATTAACTGCTGATATATAGCTTCCCATTTAAATTTTTTGAGAATTTGAATCTTTAGTTTTCTTCTGCTAACTCATGTATAGTGGCTTCTTTTTTATGTGTTTCTGGTTTTGTTTTTTTAACGTAATTTGGGACTCTTAAGGTATCTAAACTGAGGGTGCTTTTCTCTAAAGAAGATTTACATTTGTTTTTTAGACTTCAGGTGATGCTGTCACCTAGGGCCACTTTAATTTCTTGGCTTGCCATTTCCATGTGCATACATAGTATAATTTTGAACCATAAAACATAGATTATACAAAATGTCATGGGAAATAAATCTGTTATTAAGATCTATCCCCATTTCCATCCTTGCAGGGCTGGGAAGATGCTTGCAGATTTTCTTCCCCCCCTGGCCTAGTCCTTCTCTGATGGAGAGACCTTCTATTCTCCTGGCTTCATGTGAAAATCTTAGATTTCGTTTTCCAACTTTCTATCAGTCCTAATAGTCTTCATCAACATCTTTCAACACTGTGGCCTGAGGCCCTTAGTCCCCAAAGCTCTACTTTCATGGCTGGTGGTTTACTTATCATTTTGTTCATATATTTTCGGCCTTGAGGAAATTCCCCAACTGTCTTACAGTCTCACCAGTGCACTTAAAAAGTATGATCGCTGTAACTTATCTTGATTTATCTGGCATGTGGATGTTTTACAGAAGAGTAGCGAGAAGGGAATGGAGGTGTTACAGTTCAGAATATCCAGACAACTATACTGCTAAGAGCCGGTGTCTCTCTGGTCACATATGTAATTCTTAGGCATCAATAGAAGAAAGCTATATAGATATTGCATAAAAAACTATCATCCCGAATATAGAAAGGTAAGATTCTAAATTACAGAAGATAAATACAGAAGATTTTAAATTTGTTCTGAAAGAATGAATGAGCAAGAAAGAAATGATGGTTGACTGTGATAGGAGTCTTGAGAAGAAATAACTGACAACTGAAATTTGAATTCAGTAGGTTCAGTGGGAAAAGTAAAAGTAGTAAAAATTTCTGAACCTATTGTTTCAAGGAAAAGCTATTCCTAATTGCCATAGATGACATTTTAGGTATGAAAGACTAGTTTTAGCAAAGATGTGTGTTTGGAAACACTAAATCCTATTAATCAGAAACTGTTTTTAATGGTGGTGACCTCTAGATATAATGTCCATCAAGTCCCCTTGACTAGATACAAGGCTATCATTGTGCTATGTTACTACTACTAACATCTAGGGTAAAGTGACTGTGTTTCCTGCTTCTGTTTTGCTTCTCTGGGTTTTAGGTGAACTCTTAAAGCCAGGCTCCAGTAATATCTTACTTTTCTTTAAAAAAGTAGCTATAGTTATATATTTTTATCTTTCAGAGGGAAAAAAATAGCCATTATGAGACTAAAATTGCTCATTCCTTATAACTTTGCTGTAAAGTTTCAGATTTGATCTCCCTTACCAGTTGAATTTTCAAAGATTTTGAATAGAACTATTAAAGGCTAACAGAAGAGAAACTTTAAGTAGGTCCATATTTTCACAAATGTCTCTTAATGTATTAGTTGCTTTTTAGTTACTGAAAGATGTATTTCATACCTATGTTTTCCACTCATCATAAAAAATTTTCAGTCTCAAGTTTGACATTTCTTCCTTGCATCAAGACTGAGTCACAAAGAATATATTACAGATAGTAAAATCGAAATCACAGAAGACTTACCTTTCAGTGGCTGTTGCTATGAAACCATGTTTTGATGGGAAATTTTAGAGAAGTTTGTGCTTCCTGTTGTTAAATGATAGAATATGGAGATCCCCTTAATTTTCAAAATTGCCCTTTTTTAAAAGCAACTAACCTCAATTATTCTTTATAATGGGACAGACACTCTTTCTTCTTACCCTATCTTACTTACCCAGAACTGCTAATTAGGTTTAATTTTATCTTTGCTTCCTCTCCTTGCACGTTGAAGTGGCAGCTGGGCAGAGTTTTGGAGAAATGTTTTATATGCAATTACAAGGTTGTATTGTTATTATTTATTTTTACCTAGGACACCGGAATGCTCAAAATACCTAAAAGGTCGAAAATATGGTAACTTATGAGCAAGAGGGCTTGGATAATATGAGAAATTAGAAAAGTGCTGTTTTGTTGTTGTGAATCTAGAATAAGACCACAATGACCTCTGGTTCCTGAAAGGGAGAAAATTTTTTGTTTAATTTTGTTTCCTCCAGGCAGTGTGATCTAGAGAAGAGAACTTGGGATTCCAAGTCAGAAAATGACTCAAAAGGCGAAAGGGGGACTTCCCCCGTGGTCCAGTAGCTAAGACTCCACACTGACAAAACAGGGGGCCCGGGCCAGAGAACTAGATCCCACGTGCCACAGCTAAAGGTTCCGCATGCCACAACTAAGAACTGCCGCAGCCAAAAAAATAAATAAAACAGAAAGGCAAGAGGGAGAGTAATATGGTGGTCTGGCTGAAGCGGAGGACCACATAGTAGAGAGCATGGAAAGGCGAGAGAAGGAGTGAGATGAATGCAAAACTGAGACTTGATTTTCCAGACAGAGGAAAAGCAGAATATA